CCTCTCTTTCAAGGTCTCTAGACATTATAAATATCTCTACTTCAGTGCTGAGCCCTATTTTCTGTTTCTGGCCCTGTATTTGCCCTGTTTCCTTCCTCTTCCTCATTACATTTAGAAATACTTTCAGCCGGGCGCGGTGACTCACGCCTGTAATTCCAGCACTTTGGGAGGCAGAGGCGAGTTCAGAGGTTTGAGACCAGCCGGGGCAACTCGGCAAGACCTTGTTTCTACAATAAATTAAAAAATTAGCTGGGCATGGTGGCTCATGCCTGTGATTCCAGCTACTTGGAAGGCTGAAAGAGAAGGATTGCCTGAACCCAGCAGGTCGGGTCTGTAGTGGCCATGAGCATGCCACTGTATTCTAGCCTGGGCAACAGTGAGACTCTGACTCAAAAAAAGAAAAAAGAAAAGAAAAGAAAAAGGAAAAAGAAAGAAATACTCTCAACTGCTAAGAGCCACTTTCACGTCCTTCAAATTAATATCTGGTAAAACATCATAGGGGTAAGCAATGGAAAGACACATATGGTCAGCTTTAAGGTTAGAAACTTTTGATCCTTCAGGTTTGAGCCAAGGCTGACGGTATAAACAGACCTTTCCCTAAATCATGACTATTACAATGTCCCATTGGTTTGTATGTAATGAAGGAAGGGTAACGTGAAACATTTTAGGCAGTAGTAGCTCTAAGTTACCAGTGGAGAGGTCATTTTCTTATAACCCAAACAATTGATGGGACTGGATTAACTGGGAAGAATTTATGCTTGTTTTGCTAGAAAGCCAAGCAAGAACCATCTGTGAGAGCTAAAAACCTGACTCTGGAGTGTTCAGTGAGTCACTGTGGGCATCACTGATCATGGGCTTGGAATTACAGAAGGTGGACAATTCAGTCATCTTTTTTGTCTCAGAAAAATACTCTCAAGAGTCAGGAGTGGGGGCAAAATCGAAGACAGTTGGAAAAGGGGGGAATCCATGGAAGGGAAAAGAAACTTTCCTGTCCCAGTTCTAATGTGTGGGCTAAAACCTTCTCCTTCTATGTGGGTTTCACTCTCTAGCTTTAGAAGATGGAGTGGATGGCAGTGCAGAAGTGAAGGAGAGGGAGAAGTCCAGGCTGACAAAATAAGGGAGGGTCCTATCTTCAGCAGGACAGTACCCATCCCCAACTCTTTCAGGGACTAGCGCTGAAGAATGGGGACTCACATTGTCCTCAATGTAGAGATGTTAATGTTCCACTGGTGAAAGTTTCCTTTCCCTTTGTGTGGCTAATAGCAGAGCTGACCAGAAGCACATTTACCCTATAGCTAAGGAATCAGAAGTTTCCGGCCCTCCCTTGAACTGACCTCTCTCCCAAGGCACTGGAGGAGCCCAGCAAGATGTTAACATGATTGCAGATTTTTTGTAAATTTTGAAAAAAATTTAAGTGATGATTGCTTAAGATTGAGGTCTCTTTCCTTTCTGACTCCCCCTCCATTGCATTTCCCCTTTCGTCAGGTGCCAGTAGAGAGGCCATGGATATTTGGGGATTGACTAAGAAAGTTCAGTTGAGGAAACATTTAGTGTGGGTCTAGTAGGTGCACCTTAAGTGGTTTGTGGTAACCTCTGTGAACAAAGTATCCCCGTGTAGGTATAGTGTTATGAATTGTACTGTGATTCCTCCAAACTTTGTAATAAAGTCCTAACTCCCAGCACCTCAGAATGTAATTACATTTGTAGATTAAAAAGATAATTAACAGCCGGGCTCGGTGGCTCAGCCTGTAATTCTGCACCTTTGGGAGGCTGAGGTGAGTGGATTGCCTAGGCCGCGGGTTCGAGACCCACTCGGACAGCGAGACCTCATCTCTACAATAAATCAAAAAAATCAGCCGGGCGTGGTAGCGCATGCCTGTAATTCCGGCTACTCAGAAAAGGCTGAGGCAGAAGGGTCGCTGGAGCCCAGCAGGTCGAGGATACGGTGGCCGGGAGCGGCCACTGCACTCCAGTCTGGGCGACAGAGTGAGACTCCAACTCAAAAAAAAAAAAAAAAAAAAGATAATTAAATTAAAATGAGGTGTTTGCAGTGAGTTCTAATACAATGCGACTTGTGCTTTTTTTTTTTTTGAGATGGTCTCACTCTCTGTGTAACGGCATGATCATAGCTCCCTGCAGCCTCAAACTTCTGGGCTCAAGCAATCCTTCCACTTCAGCCTCCTGAGTAGCTGGGACTACAGGCATGTGCCACCACGCCCAGCTAATTTTTTAAATTTTTTTTAGCAACAGGGACTCACTATGTTGCCCATGCTGGTCTCTAACTCCTTGCCTCAGGCGAATCTTGCGCTTCAGCCTCCCGAAGTGCTGTGATTACAGGTATGGCCACTGTGCCTGGCCCTGGTGTCTTTATAAGAGGAAATTTGGACACAGGTGTGTGTGCATGCAGGAAAGACTGTGTGATGGTGGTAGGGAGAAGACAGCTGTGTACAAGTCAGGGAGAGAGAAACCTCAGAATAAAAACAACTCTCCTGACACTGACCTCAAACATCCAATTTTCAAAACTGAGAAAATAAACTTCTGTTGTTCAACTCACCCCATCTATGCTATTTTGTTATGGCAGCCCTAGCAAACTTATATGGCTTCCAGGAACAATGTCACCAAGTCAAAGAGTGTGGCATTAGTCATTGTAAATCTGAAACACTGCAAAATTGCATAACACATATATGAAAGAAATTTGATAGAGGTTTTTCCAAGTTTGATAAAAATCCTATTATATGACATTATAGTTTACGAGGTGTGAAGGTGAAATTCTAAATTATCAAGAACTTTAAAAATGTCATCAATCACACCAAAAGACTGAATTACTTTTCTTACTCTTTATAGAAAACATCATATAATCATCATATGAAAAGGCTACCAAAGAGCATGCAGCCAAAAAAAAATCGTAGAAAAAAAATTTATCAGATAATTTTGACAGCTTTTCAAAAACTGTAATTTGTTATCTTCTCATTAAAAAAATAATTAACTTTTGTGCTCAATTTTTTTTTTTTGAGTTGGGGGTCTCACTCTGTCACTCAGACTGGAGTGCAATGACATGATCATGGCTCACTGCAGCCTCAACTTCCTGGACTCAGGCGATCCTCTCACCTCAACCTCCTGAACAGTTGGGACTACAGGTGAGTGCCACTATGCCCAACTAATTTTTTGATTTTTTTTTGTGGTAGATATGGGTCTCGCTATGTTGTCTAGTCTGGACTTAAAACTCCTGGGCTTAAACAATCCTCCCACTTTGGTCTCCCAAAGTGCTGGGATTACAGGCGGAAGCCACTGCACCCAGCCCCTGATATTGTATTTATTTTCCTTAAAAGGGGCTCCAAAAGTTGTGTGATTCAGACACTCAAAAATCTGATTTTGCCCCAGGACTAACCAAATGATTATGGGGAATATCTGCACTTTAGGGGAACTATGCTCTAGCATTCCATGCCCAGTCTCCTTCCTAATACCAGAGATGGAGGGAGCTGGAGGGCTGCCTAATCAGAAATGTAAGTTATTAAGGATTTAGGATAGCAAAGCTGTTTGTGGAAGAAAGAGTTCAGATGAGCCTACCCCAAATTAAGATAAGTCTGCAAAGAGGTTGGGGCCACAGAGACCCTAGGAAATAAGCCATGGAGAGAACCCCTGGAAACCCCCACATACCTCTCCTTGGGTGCCTGCTCCTCATTCTGACTCTACCCTTCAGCATTTCTGGCTTCACTTACAAGTGCTGAAGAGTGGGGTGCTCTGTAGTGACATCACACCTTGGACATTATGATGTAATGAGATGGCATCTGTTATTCTCAGCCTGGGGATTCCCTATTAGGAACATTTTCATTATCTAATAGGTAATCATTCAGGAGATGAGCTTGTCTCCTTAGCTCAATCCTGTTAGAACTTAATCGTTTTCTTTTCTTTTCTTTTGAGTTGGAGTCTCACTCTGTCGCCCAGACTGGAGTGCAGTGGCCACTCCCGGCCACTGCAGCCTCGACCCGCTGGGCTCCGGTGATCCTTCCGCCTCAGCCTTCCAAGTAGCCGGAATTACAGGCGTGCGCTACCACGCCCAGCTAATTTTTGATTTATTGTAGAGATGAGGTCTCGCCTGCCCAGGCAGGTCTCGAACCTGCGGGTCCAGGCAATCCACTCTCCTCAGCCTCCCAAAGGCACGGGATTGCAGGCTGAGCCACCAAGCCCGGCTGAACTTAATAGTTTTCAAGGACTCCTTCCCTTTATTACCTATCACTCCATTCTGGATCAAACAGAGGTCTTTGCTTTTTCTCTCCATTTGTTTTAGTGTTGCCCTTGATGAGGAAAGGGCTTTGCTCCAGCCTTCAATGCTTAAGGAAGAGAATGTAACTCCAATGGCCCACTTAAGAAAGAAGTCCCCCACCCAAGAGGAAACACATGACTCTTCCCTACCTGTTCCCTTTCACTGGACCAACAGCAGGCACTGGGTTCCAAGGAACTAAGAGCTGGGTCCTGGTGACTTTCCCACTACCCAATATGGTGGCAGGAACCTGTTGGAGTGTCTTATACTATGGCTACCCAACTCCTCCATATCTTTCCCACCCTTTTGCATAACCAGAACTGCAGCAGAAATAGGACTTTTAAGAAATAAGGTGAGCCGGGCTTGGTGGCTCAGCCTGTAATCCCGCGCCTTTGGGAGGCTGAGGGGAGTAGATTGCCTGAGCCTGCGGGTTCGAGACCCGCCTGGGCAACTTGGCAAGACCTCATCTCTACAAAAAATTAGCCGGATGTGCGCCTGTAGTTCCAGCTACTTGGAAGGCTGAGGCAGAAGGATCGCCGGAGCCCAGCAGGTGGAGGCTGCGGTGACCGGGAGCGGCCACTGCACTCCAATCTGGGCGACTGAGTGAGACTCCAACTTAAAAAAAAAAAAAAAAAGAAATAAGGTGACCAAGAAACAGAGGGTCAGGGAGGGAATCTTGCCCCTGGATGGGTCTCTTGCCACCCTCGGCCCCAAATGAAGACTACTTCTGAATATCTTATGTTATACTTTCTTTTCATATTTCAACTTTATTTCAAACATGAGGTTTTGTATCCAGAAGAGAGAGCAGCTGCATGAGAAAGCTGAAGTGAGGCACAATACTAGTGGGTTTGGGGCCCAGTGCACAGGGTTGCACTGTGAAGGAATTGGAGAGGTCTTGGGAGGACTGCTGAGAACATTGCTGGGGAGGGGGGGGCGGTTCAAAAAGGAACTTTTTGTTTCCTTCCCAGGTTAGCTATTCAATGGGTAGATTATTAGGTCTTTTAAGCAAAAGTCACTGTTCTTTAGCAGCATCAACAAAAAAGAAGCGCCAAAACACAGAGAACACCATCAGTCCCTTTTGTTTCTCTTGATGCCTGGATGAGAAAGGGAATGGAAACTAGTAGCAGAAAATGAAACATTTCTGATATTATCCCTTGCCATGAAAAACCAGGGGTCTGTGTCGAGACCTGTTTCTTTGCTTGGAAATGGGATGTAGTCAGAAAGCCTGGGTTTAAGCCCCATGGTGAGCTACACTAGCAAATTCTCTGACCCTGATGGTCACTTCTCATCTCTGGAACTGTGTCTCTGTAGAAAATCCTGAACCCAGCATTCCTAAAGACAAGACTTTTCAGGTCTCTGATTCATATGTGTGTGTGTGTGTAAACTGCAGGGATCCAAACAAGCTCCAGAAAAAACACATGAGTTAGAAGCAAGGGAATGTGGACATTAGATTGGAAAATTGAGAAGTTAGGGCTTAAAATGAAATGAGGGGCTACATTCATAAAGAAAAACAAGAGAACAGGGGGAAACCTATGAGACAGGTAGGTATAGGAGGACATCCAAGGTCTAGACGAGATAAGAGGACCGTGTTCCTGCTAGGTTGCCTCAAGGACCCAAGCCCATGACCATGGCAGTGTTTTTCTCTTATGGCACTTCCCAGTTCATGGTTGACATGTTATACCCCAAACTGCTCCTGTTCATACAGTCATCAGACTTTAGAGAAACGTTTCCATCACAATGCCTTACACATACATGTAACAGAATTCCTAAAGATTCTGTCAAACTCCTAGTGTGTCCCATGTCAGATAAGACTGAACCAACTAGGAGAAACCAGTGGTTGCAGCTGTCTAGGTCAACTCTGCTCTGCTTACTGAGGCTGTAAGAAATATGGATGGGAGTTTTGGAAAGAGCAGCATAGGAAGGAAAGAGCATGCTGCCTAATCTTGGTGGATGTGCAGAAGGTGGGGTGTGTGGTAACGCTGTACCAGCTCAACCCAAGGTGAGGGAAAAGCCAGGGGGTGAGAAGACTCTCAGTGCTCATGTCCTGGAAGAAGAGTGCACACCAAAGGCATCAGAGCAGGGAATCCCTCCAGAGAATCTCAAAAGGACCAGGCACACAGAAGTCTCTCAAGAAATATTCGTTTCTCCCCTATTTTACAAAGCTCAGTGGCACTGACAGTTGTGTAAGTCCAGGTTCAAAGAGTGGGGCATGCGTTATTTATGTGTGCAAGGCAGCGGCTCAGTCCAGGCCCAGTCTTGGAGCAATGAGGGAAACTTATCAGCTTACCCCAGGTCCTGAGGCAGCTCCATAAGGGAGGAATGAGAAGACTCATGTGGATTGTCCTATAAAGCTGAGAATGGAGGTATGGGTGAGCCAAGGTATTTATCACAGAGGACTATCAATAGTTTCTTCTCCCCAATCAGAGTTTGCATTTACCCTGTCACGCCAGGGCTCTTAGAAAGGGCCCAAGCACAGACCATCTAGCAGTTGTCCTCACTGGGAACCCTCCTAGTGGAAACTAGTTGGAAGAGGGAGGGAGGTTACACACCAACAGATGTGAAGGGTTGGCTAGAGCTAGGAGAGAATTCCAATGTATGAAAAGGTTAGAGTTTAAATAGGTTCCCAAGTTCTCTAGCAGGTAGGTGGGGTGGTCCTTTGCTGATCCTCCACAGCTGGGACACTGGCACATGAGACAGCAGCAAGCTCCTGCAAGTCACAGATGAAGCTTGGGGTCCCTTGCCTTCTCCTAGTCAGTCAGGGAGACTGCAAGGATGGGAAGGCAGAGCACAGTCAGAAACTATGGTCTTTTTCCTAATAAGAGATGATACATAAGCAAGGTTTTTAATTTTGTTTTTAAAGGGAAAGAATGTAACATGGTTACACACAAAGGCTCTGGAGATTTCCTAGGTTCCCAACCCTAGCTCTGCCATTTACTAACTGTGTGATCTTGAACAAATGACTGAGCTTCTCTGAACCCATCTCCTTATCTCTAAAACAGAGACAATGATAATGTTCAATTCACAGGGTTGTTCTGAGCATGCATGCAAAACAGATTTTATGATCTAGAGCCCTAAGTTTTGGGAAAACAAACAAACAGATTTTAGCGATACGTGTTAAGAAAATGCGAGCTATCACCATTAATACAACATAGCGGTAACATATACACATTAGGCAAGAGATTATTACACACTGAGCCTTGATGCAATCTCCCTCTCATCCCTTATCCTCTCTTGGGGTCCTAATTGGTGACTAAACAGTACATTCTGTGGTGGCTTCTGATACCAAGTCTTTCTTCACTTTGCTGGAACTTTGACCTGAAGGTGATCCACAAGATGCATTAAATTCTTCCTGTTTTCTTCATAACATAAGGTTAGTGTTTAAACGAGCATCTGAAAAATGACCTGGGGGTTCCTCTTTTTCATTTATCCTTCTTCAAAGGGTGAAGGCTGTGGACAGGAGGGGCATGGTAACATGTCCCATACTCTTTCCAGAATCCATGTGTGAGCATGTGGGCATGTCCCCCTTCACTTAGTGATAAGGAAGAGGAAAAACCAAAAATTTTTCTTTGAGAAATCGACAACAGAAATGGGTGTGGGGAACTAGTTACCTGGGAACTCCTTGTTCATCTGTAGAATCAAATCAGGAATTGCTTCTTTTCCCTCTTCTCCTTTCTAGAAGACTGTCAAGAAGGAGCCTGAGGGAGGAAGATGGATCAACCATGGTCTTGGAGAAAAGGAAGAAGGTTCTCCACCCCTTCTGGAGGGAGAAGGAATAGCAGAGATCAACAAGGATGAAGAGGGAGGAACATGGAAATAGACAAGTGAAGGTAAATACCCTACATGTTAAAAGAAAAAAGTGATGAGAAGGAGGGACAAGGAGAGGAAGATAAAAGCAAGAGGTTAGGAATAGGGTAAGAGGAGGAAAAAAACAAGCAAGCAGAGAAGGAATGCCCTCTGGTGTCAAGGCTAACAAGGAGGAGAGACATAAGGCATGAATGTGAATGGGTCTCGCTTTCCCCAGTTCACTTGCTCAGGTTATGGAGCAGACTGCTGTCTTCTGGTGCCATTTAATATTCAAGTTGCTTTCTTTCTTTTAATTTTTTTGAGAGACAAGGTCTTGTTATGTTGCCCAGGCTGGTTTTGAACTCCTGGCATCAAGCAACGCTCCTAAAGTGCTGAGATTACAGATGTGAGCCACGGCGCCTGGCCATTTTAATTCTTGATTTGAAATGTTTACTATTCCTTACACCTATAATATTTTATCCTCAAGAGAGCCCTAACTTTGTTTCCTTTCATCTCTGGGGTTCTCGAGCATCATTTTCCCCCACAGAGATGCACCTTCCCAAAGTTGTCTCGAGCACCAAAGCTGGAAGTCTGTGGGGACAAGAGCAAAATGGGGCAGAGGATAAGCCGTGGTTTGGAAAAGGCTCTGGAAAACCCTGAGACTGCAGACTGATTATGGAATGCTTCCTGGATTCTGGAACATCGGTGCCCAAAACTAGAAGACCCATCTCAGCCCCAACCAGACGCTTAGGGTGCTAGTCCTGAACTGCAGCACTAAGTTGGAGAGTGTGGCTTCTAACCTACACTCTGCCATGCATAGATCATAAAATGTCAAACAAGAAGTCTTAAAAGAACATCTAATCCAAATCCAATTACCCAAGGAAAAAAACTGGGGCATGGAGAGGTAAAGTAACTTGCCCAAAGTTACACAGCTCATCAGTGACTCCCTTTTCTTCTGAGGTTCAGAAAGAATAAATCCGTGATTCTCCTGATTGACCGTCCCTTGACAAACAGCCCATAAAGTGCTTGGAGGTTATTATAAGGCACCCCAGAAAGGCAAGGCTGGCATTTTTCTGGAAGCCCCTGAGTGTTCCAACCCCTTAGGCACCTCGTTATTTGGCTACAAGGGCAGGCCTGGAGTTGCTTTAGCTTCCATTTTAATCGCTAAGACTACCTGGAGGCTGGAGGAAGGAAGGAGCTCTGATTGCTACCTGTCATCACTCTCCAGTCTGTCCGCAGAGACCAAAGCCAGAACTGTCAGGGGTGACAAGGGAATCCGGTCACAATGCCAGGGACCAAAGGGCAATGGCCAGATTTCTGGGCTTAAGCAAGGCAATTATGGCTGAGTTAAAGCTGGCAAGGGCAGGACTGGGGGAGCTGAGATGGCAAAGGCAGGTAGGAAAAGGAAATGAACCAGCAATGGAAACTTAACTGGTGTGGGCTACTTCACAGAATACTTCCTCCACCCCAAAGAGCTCCCTTAACCTTCCCCGGCCACGGCCTGACGGGCCTACTCACTTTCTTCCAGCGCCCATTCGCTCCAGACAATACCACCATCACCCCTCCGGCGCCCTTTCGGGTCTCCCTCCTCCCCTCCTGCTACGCCTCGGGCTCCTTCCACTCACATCCAGCCAACGTGCTGCACCCCAATCTCCCCGAGCTCCGTGGCTTCCGCCCACGCCCCTTTGCAATTCCCTCCCCCCTC